ACTCACTTCCTCACGGTAAGAAGAGATGAAGAGGGTAGATAAGGAAGAGAGCAACGTACCTTATAATTGCTGCCCCCAACCACAGATTTCTCACCGGTAACCTGATGTGCAATTATGATGACCGGTCTTTGCTTCGGCACAACCAACAGCAGAATGCGGTTCCACCTCAGCTTAATATGTCACATCAGCGAGTTCTCAACATCCAGCATACATCCCGTATGTCACCACATAGCTCCCTGGCGCGCCCACACAACCCTGGGCCGCCTATCGTTCAACGCCCATGCCGTATCACTGCCCCACACCTCATGTGAAGCACCAATAGCTATTGCGAAGAACCAATGAAGCGCAATATGAACCAGCTCCGATACCAAATTGCAAGGAAAATAAGCAACAGCGAGATGACAATCCCAAATCACACCATCACATTGCAAGCCAAATAGTCACACCGTGTCCAGATAGCAGCATTGCACCAATAATACACCAATGGAGTTTCGTAGCACTGAAAACCAATGTCCGTGGAGAGCACACTCTCTCCTCTCAACAAAAGAGTCCAGTTCCCTTACACTCACACTTGGCGCTCTGCGCCCAGCCTGCTCCTACACAGCTACTACAGACTACAAAAAGACAATGCATCAGCAGCAGCCCGAAGTACTTGAAGATGCCGCCCATGCAGACCATCGCCAATACAAGGTACGTGCCCTCACATCATCATCATCATCATCATCCTTCACCTATCCCCTGACTTCCCCACACCTGTCCTCTCTGTAACCCGAAGACCACCCCTGCGCTTCACTGTAGTCCAAGCCCACCAGCTATGGTGGCTGGGCTATGGCGCTGCCCTCAGCAGCGCCCTCCTCCTCTGCACGACCGCACGTGCTGCACCTCGCCTCCCAGCGCTAGCAGCAGCCTACGAGCATAAGCTCCAGCAGCGCTGCCGCCCAGCATGCGAGTGCCTGAATGCGGCACCCAGGGCAGGGCTCTTTCCTTTATGGAAAGAGTTGGCCTGCTCAAGCAGCCTGGCTGCCTTGGCCTGGGCCCAGAAGCTTCCGGAAGGCCCCAGGAGGCTGCCTGGATGCAGCAGCTACTGGGCTGCTGGGCCTCGTTCGGTTGGGCGCCCCAACTGTCTCTGTATGAGGCTGCGAATCACGGCCAGGGCCTGCATTCTTTGGAAAGGCCCGGTAGGCCGTGGAAATGTCTTTGTTGCTCGGCCTGTGTTTCTTTCAACCAACTGGCACGTCGCAACTGCCTGAACCCCAAATATGAAATTGACAGTCGAAGGCCTTTTGCAAAAAGCCAGGCCCGCCTTCACTTAGGGCGGGCACCTCCGCCTTCACTTAGGGCGGGTAAGGCTGCAGACAGGGCCCCAAAGGCCTACCGAGGACACTGATCCTCGCACTTTCCCCATTTCCCTGTCTGTTTTCAGTTTTTCAAAGAGGGGCAGGTCCTATCATCATAGCATTTTCAGGATTCAGACCCTTATCCTAATTTTAGACAGTCATAGGTGCATAACATAGTAGCTGGGGCTTGCTATTCTGACCTAGAGAAAGTTGGGCCATGGGAGGCCAAAAGTGCATCTGAATTGGCGAAATGAAGTAACTAGAGTAATGGGATCTGGATTCTGGATGAGATAAATATTCTATTTCCAATTTTTGAGTGTGTGCATTTGTAAATGCAGCTAGCCTAAGCTTCCAGTGAGAAGAAAAGAAGCACAAACCTGCACTGTTTGTGTTGGAAACTGATCGCAATGCTGATGTGAGCTTAAGCAGTATGGTCCTCAAATCCTGCAAACGTAATGCAAGAAGCCCAAGCAATGTGGACGCACAGCCAACCGGATGATTCTTTCCCAGTTTACTCATTAACGCTTGAAGAGAACAACAAAACACATGCGGTCGTTCACACATGCAATAGAATGGCACAAGCGGAAAGAGTAGTAATGGTCAAACTGTGAAGGCAACTCCAAAACCAAGCGTCATGTGGGGATCATTCAGTTGGAGGCAACAGGGCAAAAAAAAAAAAAAAAACAGAATAGTACCGATGATCGAAGCATGAAGACATCTCCGAGAAAAACAAGTGTCATTAACGTACGCGTGTGAGATATCAAAGCGCAGTAAATTTGGTAAATCCCTTACATTGATCATTTTCCAACCCCAGACTCCATTTGGTTTCCTCATGTCAATCTCCTTCCCCTGCAGCTTAATTCTTTTGTGTTCTGAGCCTCGAGATGCTGACATACTAGCCAATCCATGGCTTTCTCCATGTGACTGTGTTCAAGACAGGTAAACATCTCCTTCACATCGAAGGTGCAGAAGGAAACCTGACCATCTCCTGAGCAAACATTCTGAGCTTTGTTATGGATCTGGTCTATCCGCCTTGAGGCCAAATCCGTCATTCAAAGACTTAATTAGAAAATTTACATATCTAGCGAGAAGCTTGGATGCCCTGAGCAAAGATTCCTGGAACGTGCAGAGTATCGGTCATCTCTTTACGACATCCTTGTCTTTCGGAAGCACGAATGCATGTCCGTAATACCCTTGTCTGTCCCAGGGGGCAAATTTAGTAAGGCCCATAGCCTTGTAAGTGATTGATACAGTGTCCAGTACATCAACCATAGTGGAATTCACCTCTGTAATTAGGTACATCAAAGAACATACTATGCATCCTCTCCCAACACACACAATAGGACATTCAGTGAATGTTTCCCCTGGATTACGATCCAAAGGGGAGCATACTAGTGAACGCAGCCTGTTTTTTAGTGAGAAAACATCTGTGATACTGACACCAGTCAACTTGATGCCAGTGCGAGGCTTATGCCCCTATGAGCCCCTTTCAGGCCCTGCCAAGTATCACGTCGGCCGCCCTAAGTAAAGGAAGGCACGACGAGGGCCTGAGGGCCCCTATTTCGGTCACCACGCAACTCAAGGAAATTCAGGCAGTTGCGCATTGCCAGTTGGTTGGAAGAACCCACACCCTGGGCAGCCTGTTTGAATGTATCGAAGGCAGGCCCTGGGCTGGATACGGGATGAGGGCCTAACACAGGCCGTTGACAGTTGGGCGCGAGCAA